CAGTTCAATCCTGAGCTACAGATATTCTCTTCTATTGGAAGAGAGAAAGATTCTAGGGAGAAACAGACAATAGATACTTTGACAGAAATCAACCAATATATCTTGCATCTGGAGATACCATTTCAGTAAAAATTAGGGTCAGGAACCTCCGTAAAATGTAGAGTATCACAATCATAGATTCCTTGTGTGCTTTTATATCTCCAGAAAGGATACAGTAAAAGCAAATCACTGCACAGATGTTCCAGACATTGAAAGTATCCTATACCTATGTAGATCTTCCTCAAGAATCATGTATTGATAAATGTCTGACATAATATTGACAATTTGGAGGAGATGGTGTTATCTCAGATTATTTGTCCATAAATAACAGTTAAACATGAGATATAAAATAGCAGTAAACAATTCAATTAAAAAGAGTATAAAAATAAAGCTTATATGTAAATTATTTCAGCTCTCTGAGAAGGAAAACAGCTTTCTTTTAAATCATCAACTGTATTTCAGACAAACTTGCAGGCCACTGCTTCATAGGCCTTGATGTAGAAAAGTCTTAAGGTAGTCCTTGCTTAATGACTGCATGTTTAGCAGCTGTTCAAAGTTCCGATGGTGCTGAAAAAGTACCTTTGATTCTCACACTTATGACCATCACAGTGTCCCACGGTCACATGATCACCATTTGTGACCTTCACAGTTGGCTTCTGACAAGCAGACCCAATGGAGAAGCCAGCAGCAAAATTACAAGTTGCAGGCATGTGATGTCTTGCTTAACAACCATGGTTGAGTCACTTAATGACTGTGGCGGAAGTGAGGTTGTAAGTCCATCACAGTCACATGATGTCTAATGATAGAGTTGCTGGTCCTAGTTGTGGTTGTTAAGTGAGGACTATCTGTAGTGATTTGACACTGTGATTGCTCTGCCATGTTAAACTAACTCTGCTAATTTTTTTAGCCTGTTTTCATTTGTAACAGATTTGTGCTTTAGTAGAGGAAAGAGCTGGTTTGCCTCCAAAGATGATTTAAAGGCAAAATATGATGCGTCTTAGACCCAAGAGACAGATCTTAAGTAAGGCTTGACAGTGTACTTTATGGTGTGTGCCTGGTAACTATGGACTTAATGGCTGAGGTAAAATAGAAAGACACAAAAGGGATTTTTGAATAGATAGCAATCAGTCACTCACAGAATGTACTAAATAAACACATTCTGTCAAATTTCTGCATTGTTTTGCAAAATACTTTAAGTTACAACAACTTGCGTTATATTTATTTTTAGGTATAACTTTTCTAACCTGTATCTTTGGTATGCTTTTTCTGTAAGCACTTATTCCTGGTTACACATTCCTGTATGCAACTTTTCTGAACATATGTAAATACATTTCAAGGCATATATACAATAAAGTAGCTAAGAAATACTTTGTAATAGACTCTAGAGCTAGGTAAGCTACATCTCCATTCATTTTGCAATAGAGCATCACACAATTTCAACTGGGAAGAAATCTGTGACAAATTTCTCTACCATTCCTAGTTTATACCTGAACCCAGCATATCCAAAAAAGATGGCTTGTAGAAATCCACCCATCCCGGTCAAGAAGTTTACAGCTCCTGATCCATCAGAATTTTCCACCCAGATCTAAGGAAATTTAAAAAAAAAAAAAAAGATATATAGATGGATGTTGTTAAGAGTAGAAGAACTTAAGACAGGAATAAAATGTGTCCAACTGCTTGACCTTGAATGGCTCGGTGATGTTGCTGAAACATTTGCTCATTTGTTGTTGTGCTCTTTTGATTTCCTTCAGCTCCAACCAGCCAACAGCAAACATGCTCTGATGGGAGAAAGACACTGGTACCACTCTATCATCAACACACCCTTATTCAGACAGATGCATTGCAGATGGATAAGATGGAAATCACTTGCTCCCTTTTTACCCAAGTCATGGCTGGCCCCTGAGGATCAGTCACAGGCTCATAGATCTCTAGATCATTCCTTCTGACTTCTGGGTCCATAGGGTACACGACAGGAAACCCAAGCAAGACAACATCAGCTTGTTTCACTGGCTCACCTGTGGGAAGAGGCATGAAGCAAAGCCCTGATGTGACCAAGGCACAGCTGTGTGATGGCAACCGCTAAGGAAATGGAACTTCTCATTTTCATGCTACATTCCCTTTGATGGCATGGGGGATATAGAAAGAAAACTTCTACTTATGAGTATGTCAAAGATCCTTGATGCATGGGAAGCAAAGGTGCAGCAGCTGTCACGATACATTTATATGTGGAGAAAAGCCTCACCTGTTTTTCTAACCCTACAGCAATAAAGACCTAGGAGCCTTGCTAAAATGTCAGTTTGAAGAAACAATATGCAGATATTCTAGTATCTGGCCCACCAGATTAGATAATAATTTAGCCAATATGTGAGAGAGCTATCTCTTTCCAACACATTCCCTCTTGAAGGGATAGGCAACTCACAATCCAAAGCTGTATGTAGCGCCCAAAACCTGTGCTGCCTTCCATGTAACTTATAACCAATGCCATCCTAATGGTTTCAAGCAGTTTCCTTGCAGGTGATCAGAGGATTCCAGGGGACAGTTAGTTGGAAGGAATGGGAAAACAAGGCTTCCCCTTTCCTTCTAGCAAAAATTGCTGTGTTCCCAAATATCAGTGAAAGTGAGAATACAACACTTTTGCCTTTTTTATTGTTGGGAGGAAAAGGAAAATCTCTTGGCTTTGCACTGTCCTTCTCCCCACCCCCATTCCCTGAGGGGAGGAAGTACATCCCTGAGCAAGACAACAAAAAATATTGAATACTGCTCGTTGGGCAATATGTTAACTTGATGCCCTCCACATTAGCATGTAGGATGAGTGATGATCACATCCCCATGATTAAGTGAACAATATGACCTGCAATGCAGTTGGTTTCAAGGGTTGGATGAGCACCTTGGTTTCTTCTTCCGAATCCCTCACCTGGACAGTACCCATCATATTCTGGATGGTAGCATCTGCTTTTATCCAAAGGCACTTTAAGTTTCTTCATAATTTCCTTCCATTCTTCAGGGACAGGAAAATGCAACTGGGAGCCCAAGTCAATTGCAAAGTTCAAGCTGAAAAGGTACAGAGGAAAAAAAATAGCTGAGTTAGCATAATAGAGAATTACAAATTGGAAACATGTTGACATTTAGCATTTTAAAAGACAACACCAGTAGATGTTCAGGGCACTTTTTTTTTTTTTGAGGTTGTTCCTAATTAGTTATTAAAGAGGCTCTCATTGTTCCTCCCAACAAATGTTTGTTTTAATCATTGTGATGTCATACTTGCTTAACTTTTACTCCAGTGAAATTAAATTGTATCCAGAAGGTACCATGGCATACATCTTGTTGCAGAAGACAAATCAGTCATATACTACTTAAAGAAGTTTTGAGGACTTCCTCTAGTACTGGGGTAAAGACAGGCAGAGTTTTTTTTTTTTTAAATGTTCTTTCATTAGCTTTTTCAAAAAGTATCCACACAAGGTTTGCAATCATATTTCAGCCTTTCGGCATTTTATCAGTGTTACCTGGAAACAGAATATTTATTTCTGAACAATGCTGTTACTCTTTCACTCATAAATTTTCAAAGAGGTGGCTTCCAGTGAAACCAAGAAAACCAGCAGAAACATTTTCAAGTTTATCAGTCTCTGTATTTCTATCCCTTTTCTTTGGAGTGCCTTTAAATGAACATGGGACCTGAGATCTTATTGATAAAATTGACAAGACTTAACTTTTTTCTTGTCCATTTTAGGTTATTTCCAGACTAGTGATTTATAGCATCCTTTACCATCAGTGTGATGTTATAAAGCCCATCATTATTACTGATACATTTGCACAGCAATGGCTGGATGACATTATAAGATGCAATAAATCATCAGTGAAACGACCTCAGTAAAATCTAGATAAAAAGGACCAGGAAAAAAAAAAGATGGATAAAAACATACAGTGCAGAAAAAGGAAGTTACACTCCATAAGATCATTGTAACTAAGTCACAACAGTTTTCTTTTGCAGTTTATTTTTGTAATCATCTAGGCATTAGGGAAGGGGGTAAGTTGGTACAGAAATCTTTACATAAAATAAACAGTAAATGAGATGGTATCTTGCATCTCAAGGAGGATGCTTGCTGGACAGCCACCACTCTTGGATTGTTTAATGGGTTTTTTTGTTCAATGTGGAAGATTAGACTGGATCTTTCCAACTTTACAACTCTGTGATTCTATCACTGGCCCACGCTAGGGATGTCTTCTCTGGCATTAACTGGAGACGATTTGATGACAACATTTAAAGCTAGAGAAAAACATCTGTGGATAACAGTCATGCGCATGAACTGCATTTGAAAAAGATTCCCAAATAATCCTTGAAGTACTTGGAAATTCGTGCTTGATTTTGCACTATTCAATACCAGCTAGGGGAAGGCTTTGGTTAAAATTTGCAAAGAAGCAATATGTATTTCATAAGGCAGTGTGCCATAATCTCTTGTTAAAAATCTTGCTCTGTTTGTATTTGGTTGGCCTCCTTTCCTTTCTCTACATGGGCAGTATCTTTCTCAAAAGGGGTGAGGAGGGAGAGGGTGGGAAAGTTACTCTTAAACCATTCTGCATTTGAAAGTCAACCCCTTCTGGAAACCAGAAAGTGAATCCTATATCAACTGCAATATGTCACTCAAAGCAATTGTTTCATGGGAAGGAGGCTGGAATTGACAAATATACTGTACTTGGTTTGGAGTTTGGACCAGAAGATTGAAAGCACCTTCCCAAGAGTGGGACTGAAGGGAGAAATCCTCAGCAGAAAGGATGAAGCTCCCCAGCCAACCAGACTTGAATATGACGGGAGGTTCAGCCTGGTTATGGCAGCCTATCATAATTATCCTTTACTGTATTTTCCTGAAGGATAGGGCCTGCCAATGAAGTTTTAAATTACCATTCTCACAATTTGTAATAGATAACAAATGCATTAAAAAAGTGAATTCAGTATTAACCATCAATAAGGCTAAAGTATAAAAAAGCCAAAGAAGGACAGAGAAGAAGGATCATCAATTCTGGAAGTCTCTTACCTCCTCTGGGCAACAGCATTTGTATAGACAGAATTATTGACACTGCAGTGATACTCATCTGGGGGCATAACACCTAAAAGAAGGCAGACACCTTTAGAACACAGCAGCCCTTCCACAGGCACCATTGTGATGTCATCATGGTTAGGAATAGACACCTATGACCTATCCAAACTTTTTTTCTCCCAGAATAACCCTTAAGAATAAGTATAGATAGATAAAGGTTCAAGGGTACATGTTGGTTGCAATGTATTTGGGCATTTTAAAAAAAAGTTAATTGCACACAATTTGAAGGAAGACGCTATTATTTGAATGCATCAGGCTTCATACTAGGACTTGGCAATAAATCACAGTTCTCCAGGTACTTAACCTGTTATTTAGCACTTGGCTTGACTTTTCACAAGACCCTCAGACTTGACCCAGCTAGATTACTCATGTATTTATTACATTTATTTATATATCTCCCATCCATTCCTGGCTGTTTGCAAACATAAAATACAATCATTTCTAATTTTTATTTATTATATCTTTACTGTAGACAAGATGAAGCCTTAAAGCCAACCATTGACTGCTCGCAGCAGAGCAAAGAATTCAGAGGGAACCACTGGTAAGGTAATAGTATGTGGGAATGACCTTGGGAGACCAGAGGGAGAGCCGCAAACAGGACAACCAGCATGTAAAAGGTGTTTCAGCCCCCAGAAGGGGGGATGGCGTGGAGTTTCCCCTTCTGAGGGCTGAAACGCCTTTTACATGCTGGTTGTCCTGTTTGCGGCTCTCCCTCTGGTCTCCCAAGGTCATTCCCACATACCATTACAGGTTCTGCCTCATCAGCTTCAGCTGTTACAGGAGACACACTGAACTGATTTTTATCTCTGCTTAGGAATCCTCTTACACCAACTTACCAACAATGTAATAGTTCTCTTCCTCAGAGTTCCACACCACTCGGCTGCACCAGTACTGAGCGATAGCCTGGACTACGTCCCAGCCACCTTCCTGCTGAAAGAGCTTCAAGTCCTAGAAGCACATTAGAAGGAGGGATTCCATTGACCCTGGAGTGCCTGATCTGAGTCAGACAGGCTAACAAGGTTTGGTGGCAAAAACAGAAGCAGGGTAGGAGGCAAAAGTGGCTACCCCAAGCCCTGCCCCAGCTACCTGAGTGATGTAGAAATACTGCTCAAAAGCCAGCATCACATCTCCATTGATGTGGATCTCCTCATCTCCATAAATTTTCTCAGGGCAGACCTCTCGGCCTGTTGCTGCACTCTCCCAAGGAAACTTTGCACCCTGCCACAACCAAAGCCCAAATCAAATCAAATCAAATATTTTGACAAGGTCAAGACATATTGAATAGTAAGACATTTCCTTTCTTTGGGCAATTTCAAATCCAGAGCATGCTTGTTCAGGAATGGGCAGCTATTTGCTGCATGACAGAAGACCCTGTTGGAGACTGGTCAATGGCTTCGTTTGCTCAGTCCAGTTTCTGTCCCCAGTGAGAGAAGGCAACTTTTCAATGTCATTCTGTGCCTTGTTCACAGTTGGCAAAGAATAGCTCTGTCTGTTGTTAAATTGTGGTCCCCCTCAAAGCTCTTCACTTGGGTCATATGGGGGGTTGAATTCAGCACCTTCAATATTCAGCCATATGTTCACAGGAAAGAAGAGCATCCAGGAAGATGGCACATGAGGGCCATTGTCTGGATCCAATAGGCAAGTCAAGAAGTCATTTGTTATAATGCCAGTACTGCGGCTTGTGATGTGGCTAGGTTTTACAATGATTCACCTATAGCTAGTTTGGTGTAGCAGTTAAGGCATCAGGCTAGAATCCAGGAAACTCTGAGTTCTAGTCCCACCTTAGGCACAAAGCCAGCTGGGTGGCCTTGGGCCAGTCACCCTCTCTCAGCCCCAGGAAGAAGGCAGCGGCAAGTCACTTCTGAAATCTTGCCAAGAAAACTGCAGGGACTAGTCCAGACAGTCACCAGGAGTCAAGACTGATTTGAAGGCATTTTAAAAAAA